AATAATATACGAATATACAAAACGAAAAAATAACTCTGTTAAGACTTTGAGTTTTTGTTAAAAGTAATGTAGTGCAACATCTATACCTTTACATAAATATAAAAGCGAAAGGATACTTACTCAGAAACTGGCATAAACCCCTGATTTTATGAATAAAGTATTATTAATTGTATCTGCTATAAGTTTAGTAGCATATATTTATAATATATACCTACTAAACTGGTACTGGTAACTAAACTGGTATACGTATGTATATATACCGCATTTTCTTATATATTAACGTAAACGAGTATATTATGGTAACCAAATTGCCAGTCTTGATAGACTAACAATAGAAAATAAGAGGTTTCTCTTTACTACGGCTATGAAATCCCAACAAAGTAATAGATATTTCAGAAATATAAGAGTTACACTACACTGCCCAAGTCTCAAGTAAGGATCGGCCAAGAAGAGTCTAATATTTGGAAGTGTGAACAAACGCTTAAGCGTCGCGACGTGCAAAGAGAAGATTGCGATGAGATGCGGCGAGCCACGCGGATGTTGACAGATTTAGATACAACCGAGTCGTCGTAAAGGATTTGCTAAAAGGGTTGCTATGCAGTAACTTTTACTTCTTTCTTAGCTATTAGACAAAGACCGACGTCTTTGTCTAAAAGAAGAGATTTAATACTTGATTCTGCCACTGTTTTTGATTGATTGTATAGCCATCCCTCGCCTAATAGTCGTTAGTCCCAGGTCACCCATCATCTTTAAAGGGATGTCCTTCACGGCTGAGGATATTCAGAACTTGTGAGAGATTAGGGTTTAACAATCTGAATCATTAACTTGAAGAATTTAGGTTAATTCTACAACAGTGTGCTTTCTACTCTTAAACCACAATAACAAAAAAAATAAAGAACTAAATAATTTGAATTAAGTAACAATAATAACAAAACTTTGTTCTTTCGTCACTATGTATATTACCAAATACAGATGTGTTTCATCAGTATTGATCTTGATGTCGAACTTAATTGGAAGTCAAAAGTTATCATAACCGAAATATCAAAACGAATGTGACAAACGATACATTATTTAAAGATACACTGCAGATGAAGCGCTCCCAGTTTCGAATTTTCTGCGAAACAGCAAAGTGCGTAGTAATCCGAGCAAAGACGCTGCGTTAATTGAAAAATTACCCTCACCGTACGAGTTTCGCCCCAAAATTAATTAAAATTTTAGAATAAGCTCAGTTTAACGCGGCCTAATTTATATTCCAAGGGAGCATATTATACAAGCCCGTCTAAATACAAGAAACCATAAACTGTATCCCTGGAACGGACACAGTGCGCAGCGCCGCGCGTGCCCCTCGCGTTGCGAATTGCTTGAACTAATTCTGGCCTTAATGTCTACGTAATAGGTATATAAATTTCCACGGTGAGGTTAAGGAGTACCTCACAAATGTTCTGAAACATATCCGCTCTGGATATGTTTCAGAACATTTGTGAGGTACTTCTCCTATTAGTACTCTGAAATGTTTGCACTTCTGTGTTTATGTTTAAACGACGCTTCCTTTCAATTTCTAGATAACTTAGATATTCGAAAATAATAAATTAAATTATTGACAACAATAACTGTTCATCGAAGGTAAAAAAAAGATGTTCTTTTAATTTTATCGATATCATTAATTCTTGTCAACAGACAAACAAATAAAGAAAAAAGAAAATCAGGGACAAACAAAGGAGAAACGGGTACTGTATTGTTTCATCGTAAATATTTATTTGAAGTAAAATAATAAACAGAATTGTGAACCCTGTACTCATCAAGCAAACGCAAGTGCAAACTTGTTAATATAAGTGATGCAAAACAGGTCGCATACAGCTGAAGTGTTAGTCCTTGAAAATAGCGCGGGCCGGCCTCGTGACCTATTCTGCGACCTTGCAGATGCCCGCTTGCAGGTGTCAGTTAAATAATTAGCCCTTCCCCACCTCAATACTAACTCGAGCAATAAACGTTCAGGAATGTTGCCTCCAACGCTTGCTATCGATTTTATAAGTACAGCACATAGTGAAATATATTCCTTTGATAGTGCAATTCATCTGAAATTTAAAATCCTTCGATAATACCTATATTAAAGCAAGTTAAAATTAACATAGGTCTGATGAAATTTAAATATACAAATACATTGTCTTTAATTCTAGAAAGTTCCACAATCCATCTTCTGGCTCCATCATCAAGTACTAAGATGACAAATAATAGTACTGCCAAGTCCACTAAATTCACATGCAAAGACAGTTAAAATTGATTTCTAAGATTCTTTTATATTGTAAGTTAGTCGCAAGTAAAGTCAATAAAAGTGTGTTCAAATAGGTACAAACAATTCAGTCTTAAACCAGATGGTTGAGGCAATTTTCATGTCGTTATCATTATCTATATTGAAACCACAAAAGATATCGAAACAACAGTGACACTTGTCGATATGCAAACACAAACAGTGAGTGACGCGCGACTTAACTTGAAAATTTCAATAGATAAGTCGCGTGTCTGCCCGAAGAAGGCTACAGTCTAAAACATACTAAGTACGAAACTGCAAACTTAACTAAATACCGTACAAAAGTAGCATCAAACCTTAAACTCTGTTTGACAAAGTCTAAATTCCATTGTTTATATACGATGTTATAAAGTTGTAAGGTTATGTCGGCTGTGGCTCAAACAAGAGGTGTTTGCAGGAGATAGCACTATCGCCTGGGAACGTCAAACAGGCGGGCCAGCCCCGCGTGCCACCGCCGCGCCGCCCGCCACTTGTGCAACAATTACTGTACCTAGAAAATACCTGTGCGATTTACTAACATGCTATGTAACAATGAGGAATAAGGACTGTAGTCCATTCATATCGTATATCTAATTACTTTGTATGTTGGAATCGGCTAATCTCTACGATTTTACGAGTTCTCCTGGAAAACCTTTCTTGCGTGAGACAGTGCATGCTTATATATTATCATAGACATAACATAACTAACATTTCTACCTACTTTCTTCACACGCTGTTATTAAATTCCTATAAGGTCAAAAAGTCGCAGCTACACCTTTAGGGGTATGTTAATTCAGATCTAAACGAAAACAGGGAGACAGACGTTCGTCGTCGGCAACATCTCCATTTCTTATTCATCCAAACATTAAAGATTATAACAAATATACGCATATCAATACATAAACGAGGATATTTTTTATTTTATTGCATTTCATGCCATTTCATTTGACTAGAATCAACCAAGATTCTATAATTATCTTTTTAAAAACTGCCACAGACTTCAATGTGGCTACATCACAGTAACAAGCTGTATCATTCATACCGATTACCCATTTACTTTTACGTTATTTTTAAGTATACATACATATATTTTAACTAGAAAGTATACTCCAACATTAGACACAAGAAGTAGGTATCCAAATCTGTGCAGACATTTTTGAGTAAGTACAACATTATACAAATTAAAGCTGAAATAGTAGATTTAAAATTCACTAAAAATATCTGTAATTATTATGTAACTCTCCATCTCTATATTTAATGTTTAAACACATAAATATTGAATGTTATGACAGCAAAGTTCATCCGAAGTTATAAGGAACATCTTTCTAAATATATTCGGATTCGGACTACCGAATTTAACTATAAAATTCAATTAATTAACTGTCGCTATAAATTACTGAACCATATTATTTATTTCACTGTTCCCTTCAACTGTACTAAATAGTTTTCTAATTATAATACATAAACATATTCATTACTATTAACTCACACCGTGTACCGTGCGAATATCTGTATGAGATAGTATCTTTGTTCTATCCCAAAGGGAAAACTGTTGGTAACTATGTGTTTCATAAATAAATACTTTAAAATTTACGAGCTGGAACGGACAGCAGTTGGCCACAGTGGCGAACTTTATATTATGTTTTCTAACAATGCTACAAAATTTGCTAGTGGACCTTTATTAATCGTTTTGGCTATGTGCGGCTGATGGTAACAGGAACAAAATTAATGAATACAAACTATGAGTTATGCTAAATTGTTTCGCTAAACGCTGATTTGACTTCACTATTCCTATGACTACATTAGTCCGTTTCATAAAGTACGATTTTGAATTAAATGGTTGGACACATAAAAATTTAACATCGAGCCCATACATAATTGAGCACTAGTATAGTAATATCAGAGATGTCTAGTGGCCGTTGTCTAGGGGCTATAGTGGTTGTTACCCCTCCCTTAACAAAGAAGATATGTCCCAAAGTAAGAGTCGCTTATCCTCATACTTTAGACGGATGGAATAACGTCCTCACCTTGCTTACAGGTTAGCAAATGTAGGTTAAGTAATAGTTCTTTTAGTATTTTTTTTTATTAAATACATATACTATATATCTTCTCACTTAAGTAATAGGAGAATATCGTAAATGGTGTAAGTAAGGCAGCTGTGATTTTCTACATCTATATTTCACATTTGTAAAGTTTATTTTATTTCAAGCATTAGTAATTTTAACTTTTAAACGATTATAAATGATTATATTTACGGCTTGTTCACCAGTCCACCTGTCCAGTCAGCATGTGACCACTGCCAGCGCAACCTGGTTGAAACGTCAGACAATTCAAAGGTATATACTTAATACCTATCGTGAGCGCGTTAATTCCCGTAAACATAGTTAGTCACATTTTGATTGCATTGATGAGAAATTAGAAACAAAACTGAATTAGTAACGTGCGGAAGTGCCTAAAGTACACAGGCAGCTGTGCCTTGCTCCTATCAGAACTCAGAAACGAAGAAGTACCCAAAATCCTTGAATGTACCATCTAATTTAAAATTTAGATAGTAAATATTCGCACTCATTCAATAACATTACAAAGTACTCGTGTCGCAAACCAAAGCAACGATTTAAAACATCTGATGTAATGCGTACATGTGTCTTCTACTTACATCTGTGTGAGACATGTTATAGAACTGTCTTTTACACGCTCATTACTAACTTATAAACTAAACTGTTTGTTGATTGAAGTAGAATCCAAGTAGATAATCAGGAGACGGCCGGAGGAATGCAACAATCGGGTACAGGTGCGCAGTGAACACCTGCCGTATGCCGCACACCGCACCGACATCGCTGCACTGTCTCGCTCCGTTCCCACTCTGCTCTGGTTCAGTCCGTCCACCGTTTGCAACTAAATAATACACCTTAAAAATATTTACTTGATACGTCAGAAGTTTATATGTATGCGCTATGTATTTTAATAAGTTTGGTTAAAAATTACATCTTTATTACATACCTTTTTGTGATTTGGTTTATTGATATTAGCGAAACAAACCTCATTTTCGATGAGTATTCCAATTTCATGTTCCCAGTCGTATATTATCATTGAACTGCTCATAAAATCCGTAGCGTGATGTTAAATAACCAAAGGGACAAACGAGCGGATGTTAAATAACCTATAAAGGCTTTTTCAAAATCTGGGCTCTGTAAATAGAACTCTTTCTTTTTGACCAAACTGTTAGTTGCCAGCAATCAACCAAAAAACAAACTCTTCAGGTGTGTTACTAAAAAATGCATAACACATGAAATACTTATAAAAATTAATGTGGGTATGTTAAACGAAATTTGAACTTTCCCCTTCTATAATATATAATTAATAATTATTATGTACACGTACGTGAATCTACGCAGCACGTAACAGTTACTACAAACCTTTTAATTACGTGGCGTTTAACCAGCCCGTGACCACGGCTAGTACAACCTACCTATATAGGTAAATTAACTTGATGGGAAAATTCTAAATTTTTGTTGCCATTTCCATATTATGCTTATTTGTTTGGCTATAACAATCAAATACTACGTTAAATTAGAATTCCCTCCAATTCATATTTTTACATAATTTAATGAATAGTTCGATGTTACACTAATATTCTTCACTGTGTACATAAACTAAACAAGAAATTGCTAAAATCTCCTTACTAGTTATGTTTAGCTCAATACCTAATGACGTCATTTAAAAACAATAAATAAAAACTAAGTTATGATGTTTTCGGCTTAACTCTACATAATGTGATTTCACATAGTGGGGTCCCTTCGTTAAATTTACTCATAATATTATTTTTTGAAAGTAACAATGACTTTCAACTTTAGAACTATAAACCAACCAGCTAAAGCTTTATAATATTTCGTATATTAATTGTAACAAACAATTAATAAACTTGACAGGCCCATTGGTTTAGTGGTAAGTGATGGGATTGGGATTTGATTCCCAACCAGGACAAATAATTGTTAATTGATCCCGATCATTAGTTCTAGTTCTGGGTGTAATATAGCTATAACATGTATGTATTTAGCAATATATATAAGTATATCTATCAGTAGTCTTGTTACCATAGTACGAGCTCTGCATGATTTGGAATCAGACTGCCGTGAGAGACGCACATGGTTATTATTATTAAGGCTTTCAAGATATCATTACTGTTTACCGTTCTTGAACTTTTTGGTAACATTTATGATATAATTTAGGTCAAATGTAACAAAGGCTTCCTGAGGCTTACGGCATATGAAAGTTAAGAATACACTGATGACATCAGGCCACCACGCCCACTACATATCCTTACGTGTCATCGCAACTAATATAGTATTTGACTTTTTTGCTCATATTTGAATAAAACTTAAATATTTTCTATGCATAATAGATATTTATTATTACCTATGCTGTAAGCTACGTTAAAGTTTATGATTTGTTAGAATTCTGCTGCCAATTTTTTCTAAAATGAATCCTTGTTTTATTTTGTTTTGAAATTCTAAGTGCGCATGATCTATGTATGTAATCAGACATTGGCTGTTACGTATGCGAGGCCTACCATAATTATAATGGGCTTAAAATCTTTTCGATTAACCTAAACTACACGAGTATAAAATAATAACATAAACAAAGGGAAACCTCGACATTTATGCATATATATCACTTCAATGGATGATGTATGTAATATGAATGTCTAATAATTAAAACGAACCCCGGATTAAGGTACAGCTCTAAACGAAATCAATCTATCATTGTATTGTTCCTAACTATGATCAGCAAAAACCCAGGGACGGCCGGAGAGATGTGGCGGTCAGCATTGTCAACATTATTTAACTGCAATATTACTATGTAAAATCCACATGTAATATTTTTATTTGAGGCAACACTAATAGCATATAATCCAGCGAGCCATGTGTAAGAAAAAAAAGGTTTTACAATATGCGATTCCATTTTTCCTAATCTATATCCTGATTTTATCTGAATTACACATGATGCGCTTATACATAACATCAAATTAACGTGCACCGGTTGTACATTATGGAGAAAATAAAGAGGCGTGTATCGGCTCACCGTTATTCCTGGAGACCATCAGCCAAGCCCCATTCATACAAAGTCAAAGAAGGGACGCGCGTCCTCACCCGTCACTAATACCGACAGAGACTATAAATAAACGTCATTTTATTTCTCTTGCTTGTATTCGCAAACAAAGACTCATATAAATAGAAATTTAAGATTTATAACTAAATTTATTATATTTACAAATACTCTTCATAATTGGTTATTAAAATGCTGATGCATTAAATCGGCAGAGTTTATAAAAAGCTTGCATGATATAGCAAAAGATATAAAGTTAATTACGAAATGAGACGGTTAATTTTATAACCTTATTACCTATACTTAATACTAACCAATATTTATCTATTTACCTTATTATTTAGGTAGCGTAAGAGGTTCAAAATTGCATACGCTGCAAAAGTATCTTTGTAATCATATATCAATTATATGGCACAGCAAAGTTAGGTACTTATGCAGTTTATACTCGTATATTCAGTAAACGGGACCACAGTCGCCATTTTATTTATTTTTCAATAGAAGACAAATATAATTGACACCTTATGGCACAAAGGACCAATTAAATTATTTATAGGTAGGTAGTTTTGCTTTCTTTATAGGTTAACACTAATTCTACTCAAACACTATTTGAAGCTTGAGTGACTACTAAAAGTACTTTACAACTTTCATCATCGATGCGTGACAAAATTACAATTGTATTTATACCACGAGTTCAATGAAATGGAATTTCGAAATATAACTATATTATTATATTATGATCTGTTAGTCACCTTAAATGCTTTTGGTGTCTTATCCACAATTAAGTCATGGATACAGTAGTGCCTTTTTTGCTCGACTTGACAGGAGGAGAGATTAAATTGAGGCATTCGAAGATGGGATTATCCCACTAGAGCAAGATATTCATCGCTTCATACTTTATAGGTATATATTTCGTATCGGAAAAGATACCTGCCAAATACCCCTCAAAAGCCTTCTGCTGGTAAATAGCGTATAGGTAACCTCAATCTCTGGTGTTATTCTAGTCGTAAAATCTGTATACTTTAGTAGCATAAACATTTGCTAAAAAGGCGAATCCTGAAAACTTTAAAAGGTCTTAGTATCTACATTAATCCATATTCATCCTATTATAAAGTCCACAGAATAAGGCTTTATTTTTGTTCTGTCATCAAGGCTGGCCCAGATCGGAGCTCATCAGTAAAAATTAAAAAACAAAAAAATATCTCTTTTGGTTCATTTATTTACCGAAAAGTAAAATAGAGGACATGATTCACTCATATTCTAGCTTAAGTAACAGAAGACATTTTCTGGATACAATTACTGTCTTTAAAATAATCGATTGAGCTCAAAGCGGCGGCGTTTATCACAGTTCAACCGTCTCTACGGATAATCTATCTCGTTCATTGTGCTTCCGACTCGGAAACCGCAAGCATTCCTCGCCACCACGTAAAGGTACGTCCACACCGCGCAATTACTTCCACCTGCGGTCAATCTCTGTAGAAAGTATGTACATACTTAAGTGTAGTCTGCATCTTATGGCTACTAAAAGCTAACTTATGCTTACGGACCAGTTGCTTGGTTACTGATCCTCACTGCTGATCCGGAGATCGTGGACTAGATTCCAGGATAAATAATTGTGTGATGAACACTTCTATTTGTTCTGGGTATGTTTGTAATTTATCTATAAAATGTATGATGTTAGGAAATCAGCAATCAGGTTAAGGCCAGGTGTCCCGAGCGCAATAGGTATTTACGTACTGTCGCCGCAAAGATCGAGTTGGTTGAAGCGACGCTTCGTGCGCCACAGTCTAAGTTGAACAGTATTCCAACAGACCTAGTAATTTTTCATCTACTAAAGTTAATAAAAACTTGCATAGGTAACTATAAAGACTTCTTCTCCGTAGAGTTAATACTAATATAAAATATATATTTTTATATTTATAATATATTTTTTTACTTTAATCTGAAAAACGATTGGTTCTCCATACAAACTTTGATCTCCTATTTTGTTCCTATCAAGTTTTTTTTCCGAAACTACAAATAGGTACCATTTTTATCAATACCAAAATTAATTAATTGATTCAGCAAGTAAGGGCATGTGAAAATGTGACAGACAGACAGATAGTTACTTTCGCATTTATTTTATTGTAATAGATTATGTAAAACTTAAAATAAAAAAATATTATTTTAAATTACTTATTTTGGGTTGTGTAAGAGCACTGCTTATTGTTAAAAATATTTTAAAACTCCTCCAAATTTAATTGGCATGTGCCTTGTGTTAGTTCTGAATCATCAGGTTTAGGATTAGGAGGGTTAGGGGTAGCCTTTTCATTTTCCTTTTGAATTGATATGTCTCTAATGGGCATACCCCTTGCATTTCTACTGTCTATGATTTCAGGCAGTAAGCAATTCATATAAAATGTTATTAATTTCGGTTTCATATTAGTGCCCCAAAATGTATCATCTTTTTCTATGAACTGTGTGTACATTTTTTCGTTTTTGCCTGCCCATATAGCCAAAAGACACTTTTGTCGTTCTGATACGTGTAGCTGGCCTTGTATTTGGTAGTACCAGTTTGAGTTTTTATTTATTGTGGTTGTTTTAGAGTTTTTATTAAACTTTAAAATTTCTATTTTGTTTTCTTCTATAGAGTTAGAAAGACCTTTTTTATGTGCTGTAATTGGACACTTTACTTCAACAATCGTATCATGTCCAATCAAGCCATCAGGCGTTGCCCCTATAAAAGGGTAGTCTTTGTCTATAAATAATCCACAGGGTGCAATAATAACACCTTCCTGCTGTTGTAATTGCTGCAAAGCTTGCTGTTCATGCTCGACTCCGTGTGCAATAGACGTGACGTTTGCCAAATTTTTTTTGTACAGCAGATTTTTTACTAGCGGGGCTGTACTTGAAGTGACTTTTCTTTTACAAATAGGGCCAAAGTTTGAAGCTGTTATTAGGCTTTTTCTGATTTCAAGCCACTCGCCGCTGTCTCTCTGTAGTATCGTAGATCTTTCTACCTTGTATCTATCAGATGTAAGCGTTTCTAAATTTTTTAGAAATTCTTTCTTTGCTGTGTCGTAATCTTTTTGCGACATATCAGGCGCTGAACAGGTTGCACCATAGTCGTGTTGCCATATTTAGTTTCCGTTTTCTTTCACGTCTTTTTTCAATTTCTTTAGCTTTGCCTCCGGAATCATTACTTGATAAAGCTGTTTGAATTGTTGATACTGCCGATTTAGTGTTGAACGAAACAACGGCTGCGGCACACCTTCCTTGGTAGCCCCTTCTTAGAGCGAAATTTATTCTTTTGCCGTCAGTAAATTTTGCTATTATGCTGTTAAAGCACTCTACCTTATTTGTGTTTACATCTTCAATCAAACTTCGTGATTTGGAAGCCACGTTGGACACAATTGCATTAATTCTAAAAATAAAAGCTGAATTTGCAATTTTTTCCAGTTCGCCATTACTGTTTTTGTCTTTATCGCAGAAGTAATTTTGACACATTTGATGATTTCCATAAGCGTGGGATACAGCCACATTTTTAGAATTCTGTGAGGTTTTATGATGTTTAATAGATTTCACTATTGTTGGCTTGTTGATGTTGGCTTCAGAATCAACAACTGGTTCTGGCGCAGATAACGTAGCGTTAGGAACATCTTGTAAGTGTACAACAGTTGACGGTATCGACGACCTGAAATAATAATTCCTTCTTCAACAGAAATGATAAAAAAATAGATCCGAATAAAACAAATATTTTTAGATTTGTATATTTTGAAAGACAACAAAAATATCAACTGACTTAGTTGCAGAAGGTGGCAAATCAACAGGCTCTAATGTTATAAAAGATACGCGAGTCCTGTTAGAGGTATCGTCACACGGCTGTCTGCAAAAAAAAACACGACTTTACTAAAATGCAAATTTGAGTAGATAAATCTTAGATAGGCAAGTAATGCTATGATTATTATTTTTTACTTATTTACTTTAATTTACTAACATGTTTACTTAAATGCATTACTTCACACTCCTAAATTTAAAACCAATTTGTGCGAGTGTTGAAAATTGGTTATTTAAATACTAGGTTCTATACGGCTGAGTTGACATATGATGGACTACTATTTATAATGTAATCACGATAGTGATTGTCAAGAATATAAAGAAAGTACTTACTGTTCTTCTATGCTTTTTGTTCGTAGAAATAAGCCCTTCTCACTTCGAGTGATTTTTGAACTGAAACAATAAATTAAGTAGGTATTAGGTATTAAGAAGAGTAAGTGAAAGGAAAACAGTGCGCCCCCTATATATGGGGCACGCACTATTGATGCGCAAAATGTATCACTGAGCTGAAAAGATTGATACATATCATTTCGCTCAAAAGATATATATCTCTCATCTAGCTCACTAGCTCATTTAGCTTACTAACTGAGCTAGTGAGCGAGTGATCTAGTGAGCTAGTACTGAGTTACTGATATATTCGGAGCAAGTGTGAGTGAGTGATACATTTTATCGTCGTGAATGATATATATCTTTTATATCACTCACTCAGGAGCTACACAACTCTAGCACGCACGACTCGTGCATTGTGATTGGCTGACCGCGGTCCACTGCCCAGCAACCGACCGGCAAACTCGCGTCATTGCTCCCACTTCCTCCCGCATACCTCACTTACCTCAGTCCTCAATTCTCGCTTACGGATAGCATTAATGTCTATTGAGAAAGCATTGCTTTTAATGATGTATATATCATTTTTCTCTATGAACCTACTGATATAGTTAGACTGTGATCAGTAGACCGTACGAATATTGACTCCATACTAATATATATACTAAAGTAACTGTCTGTCTGTCTGTTACCTTTTCACGCCTAAACGGCTGAACCAATTTTGATGAAGTTTGGTTTAGATGTGGAGATAGTTGGGGCTTTGGAGAAGGACATAGAATTCTTTTTGTCGCTAAAATAAGACTTGAAAAAGGTGAAATGAAAGTTTCTACGGGTAACCAATCATTTATCAAGATAAAGGTATAATAATAGAAAATAAAACTTACCATATTTTCTTCGCGATGTTTTTCTTCTTCAAACATGATTGTTTGGTTTTTTGATTTTTTTTATTTCCCATTTTTACAGAACAATCACACAAAATATTCTTATACTAATATTTACACAAAAAAACTATACACACAAAATAAGCTTAACAATGGTAAGTACCAACTAAAATTATAAGTCCTGTAAATTAAAAATATTAATTATTTTTGCGATAAATATATGCAGCAGAAGGGAAGCGCGCGCGTGGAAAATTTGGCATAGGTCTTACCTCGGTAACGTCCCGCAAGACACTGGCGAACGCCGCGCGAGATGAAGATCGCTTCAATAATCGATTAAAAATTTAATTGATGTAATATAAAAAATCCATCGGGTAAGATATCTCCAGCTATCTATTACCTTTATTCTAAAAAATTAATCACAATCTCAAATCACTTTTTGTAAGAATAAAATGGAAAAAAGGAGATAAAATTACACGAAAAGAGGTAACTTTGTGAATTTATTCTATCGAGTAATCTTTATTAAATCGTGTTTCCATCGAATACATTACCTTGTATATATCCTCAACAATACCAATATTTTTTTCTAGATTTTAATTTTATTGCTTAATCCTTCAAAAATTAATTCTAAAAACTTGTTTTGCAGTACCACCCGGCCTTAACCTTGTATAGTCAGTGTCTAGTTTGGGTTTAGGGGCCGTGTTTGAGGTGTCTCAAGTTACTTTAATTATGGAAAATGAAAGTTTAAATTCAGAATGCTGTAAGTGGAATTTGCTTAAAAAGTCTCTAACCAAAATAAATATTAGATGTATAAAAATATATTTATTTTTTATTACTATATCATAATAAAACCGGTTTATATAAAAAAATAGATTTACATGTAAAAAGTAAATTTACATTTAACTTTTTTTGTCTACTAATTATTATATGGTTCGTAAAGTCATTCAACATCAGAGACAACTGTTGTAGTCGTATGTTTTTATTTGTTTTCTTTTTGCTATATCCATAAAGGCAACTCTGTATCCATAACTATGCAAATCATATGAGGGTATAAATAAATAGATTGTTAGGTAAATAGAAAGCAAAAATTGTAGGTGAAAGACGAAAATAGACTTTTTTTTTAAATTTTGTAATACCGTAATACTTTATCAAATTGTTGTATAAGTATTGATATCGCAACCTAATTTAGGTATTATTAATTAGTGAGATAAACTTTATAATTACTTTATGTTATTTCTTTTAAAATTAATTAAACTGTCATGCCCCGTAACCCATCTCACAAACTATCGAATAACTTCTATAACTAATAGAGCCATCTGAACAATTCTTTAACTAGAGATCATAGCGCCGGCGCTGACGCCGGAGGCGTGTGAATCGCACTCATTGACACCTCAGCCATGACGTGCCCGCCTCATCCGCGCATGACCACGCGCAAAAAAGTCTTTCACGGAACCCAAATCGATTCTCATCGATACAAATGACAATTCTTGTCATCTATTACAAGTTCCCTTTAATCGATATTGACTCGAATTCAAGAATTAGATATGCAATATGATTACAAAAAAGAATCGAATGCCTGATATCCGGTGGTTTTGTTAGAGGTAAGTAGCGACTCGTTTGGTACTTTGGTATAATGGTCCATATCGGTGCGGCCATGGTCGTGGCGCCTGTGTTGGCGGCAATACCTCTTCGCTTCGGTAGTGTTTTAACAGCAGTTAAGTTAGGGTAAAGGTGATTAAAACTGCCCGAGCGGTGCGCGCGTGCCCTCGGGCCACTAAAACCCGCACATATATCACATTCCAATATAAATTAGTTTTCGACCGCCGCTGCTTTATGTGCCGAAATAATCTTACTGGATAACCCAGATAATTAGCCGACGGTTAACATAACAGCTATGGAAATAAAAATATTAATAAGTTTGTGAACGTAGCTGAAGTGACATTATTAGCTAATAAGTCCGCCTACACCTTTAACTATGATGATACTATTTATGTGTAAAAAAACTCTGTTTAAGTATTTTCTCTTTAAGTTCTATTTGTATAAAATTGTTTAAAATTACACTGACATCTTTTGTTGCCATAAAAAATACATAAGAGAAGAAGTACAGGTAGCTTTCAATTTGTAGATTTGATTAAGTATAGGTAAAAAACACATATATATATATAGTCATACATACATACATAGTCAACATATATAAATAGTCTTACATTTGAAAACCAAAAATCTAGAGAAATCGATTACCAAATTCCCTTTGTATTATTGTATTATACATATACATACATGTGATAATATGATTCGAATCCACACTCAGGACAGTTTATTATACATTTACCAGTATCAAAATAAATAAGTATTAATTAAAGTTTCAAATGTGTTTATTTTAATATCAACCTATAAACTATATTCTCGTTTCATGAATCGAACGTAACAAAAGAAGAAGTAGAACGTTGTAAGTGTCGAGCAAAAATACGAGCCTCATACGGGTATCATTTATTTAGTCGCGTTTACGATTGGTAATTGGGGAGTGTATTTCAAGTGGCCGCGGTTTGCGGTCGGCGTTTCTCTGACGCGAGCCGCGCACCATCGAGTGGCACGCGATGCCCTAGTGCTTTAGCCCGTTTTAGATGGTAAAGTAACACTGCTGAAACCGAGTGCAATTTCTGAGTTTCGCCCGCGGCCATCGCCAAATTACAACACACGCCGCCAGCGTAATTGCGAGCGCCCGACGGACGCGTGTGGGAACACCGACCAATTTATTAAGATTTAATCGCACCCAATTAAAATACGCACCGCATTATTACCGAATACAAAAAGCTTATGCAAATTTTTCAAGTTAGCATTCGACGAAGAAGACGCTCGGCGGCGGCGCCATGCAATGCGATTGCTACGAGATACCTCTACGAACACGTAGCACGTAGCCGCTGAAATACAACCAGTTACGTGTGGTATGTCTTAAATAAAACCACATATTTTTTAATATCTCAACGACATAATATCACAAGGATTTCATCATGAAAGAAGCTGGCATTCTTGAAAAATCGAATACAAAATTCTCCAAAAATACTGGTTGTACCCAATCAAGACAGTGTAAAATAAAGCAGAGAATTTAAGGTACATTGCATTGATACTTACATTCTGTACATATAAGGGTATAAAGTATATGTAGAAGAGGCAGATCGCGACGATAACATCTTCCCACGGCACAGCCAGGACCTCCCCGGTGCGCATACATTACCACAGCACGCATTGTCGTCGTCGCGCCCGCGCCGCACCGCGCCGCCCGCCTCACCGGCCACACACACGTGCACACCAACTTCACCATTCATTCAACATGTTCACCTGCACTCTTACCAAGAATAACCTAATTTTTCTTATTGCTTTGATTTTGCATCCTGACATGACAATTCACACAAGATACAAATTTTTACGAAATGAAATTGAAGAACTGTTTGCCGACATACCTTGTAGTAGGGAAGCACTTTTCTACAGCGTATTTTGAATTGAAAATTGTGAAATGTTACTAAAAGCAAACAACAAAATAACTTACTTTAAAGATTTGTTTAAAACTTGATATGTTCCGTCTATTGTGTACGTGTGAGGAGTTAATCGTGACAGTGACCCAGTGAGAGTGTAGGAGTCCCGATGCTCCAAAATCGGCATTAGCATGTAAATGAAAGGGCGTGGTCCAGCTTGGCGGTACCACACAAATCACGTCCTCTGTCTCCCATACGACGCGGCTCGACCGTGAGTCCGTGATGTATGCGCTTTTTAATAACCAATTACATTGTCTACTAAACCTTTCTATTTCGAATGTTATGTTAACACGTTTAATGTTACGAATACCAACGCGGTTCTTTTTAATCTAAAAACGACACAATGGGTCGATATTAATTATTATTAAATAATGTCGACCCAGTTTTTTCTCGTGTCGTTTTAAAAAAATAAGATGTAAATTATTATTTACATCTTATTTTTGTACTTAGGGTCATATTATAAAAACATGCAACTGTACCGTTTGACGCCGAATTGATTACAAAGGCACGAAGGTCAGATAGAGTCTGTAAACTTGAAACTGCAAGAAGTGCGGCAGCTGGCCAACAGTACTTCTACATTAGTCCCAGACTTTATTATAATAAAGTTAGCAGAGAGTTTAATAAATATCCTTTAACATTAAAAAAAATGTAAGGTGACTGACTGGCTATATGCGTTGCCTTATGAGGATACTGAAATTATCAGTATAGTTGTATGTTGAGACACGGATAACAGCTCATACACTCACTTACATTTACACACACACACACACACACACACACATACGCACCAACACACACATATATACACACGCACGAGTGACCAAATGTCCTATTATTATCATCCTTTTTTATAATTTATTTTTTGACTTAGAAGTTTTGCTGCTGTTTAAAGTCTTTTCACTTTTATTAGTTGTTCTAATATTCAATATTTCTCCTTTTTTTACTTTGAAATGTATTGTAACAAACGAATATTGAAATGTAATGTTTACACATATTCGGAAGCGGGCGTTAATAGTTGTGACACAGTTTCTACTATTACCGTAATATTTCTATAACTGCAACTATTACCGTACCTACTATTGTATTTTTGATGTTGTAATAGTTTTAAATAATAAATAGATAAGTAACCTTCAATCAGTAAGGGTAACCTTGAAGTACCGAAAATGAGTATAATTCATTCCATATAAAATCATATTTTGTTTGTGTGCTATAACACTTAGATACGACGATGTTTTGCTGATGCAAGCAATGTCGTAGATTGGATGCAGCAGAGTGAAGTACAAGCCCCATTGCAGACTATACTATAGACACCGCGGCTTTAACTACACAAAATAAATTTGTCCTTTTATAACATAGAGATAGAAATACGGATTGTTGATACATTAGAATGAAGAGCAGGTTTATAGGTAGCTGGAATTAACATAGTAACGAAGGGGCGGGCCGACCGGTAACTCACGCCCCGCACAAAATAAATAATTTGACTCGAGGAATGCGGCCAGATAATGGACCTCGTAGCGCGGTAAGATGTTTGTCTTTACACCACA